GACATACATACATATGCAAACACAGACACATACATACATATTGAAATACATGCAGATACATACCCACAGACAGACATGCATACATACACATACTGACTTGCACACACAGACATACATACTGACACATACATACATACATTCATTCATACTGGCATACATATATATATATATATAGATACATACATACATACAGACATCAATACCCACATACATACATACACAGACATATTCATAATGGCATACATGCATATATACAGACTTACTGACAGAGATACATACATTCATACACACTTATACACAGACATACGTTCATACTGACATACATTTATACATACAGACATACATACATTTATACATACATAATGACAAGGGACCTCAAACTTTTTAAACAGGGGGCCAGTTCACGATCCCTCAGACACTGTTGGGGGCTGGACAATAAACAATATGAACAAATTCCTATGCACACTGCACACACACGCATAAGGACATAAATACACACACACATACATATATAAGCAGACAGACACAGACATATACATACATATTGAAATACATACAGATACATACACAAAGACAGACATGCATACATACACATACTGACACATATACATACATACTGACATACATACATACTAACATACAGACATACTGACACACATACATAGATACACACTGACATACACACACATACATACATACACATACATACTGACATGGATACATACTGACATAGATACATACATACATATATGCATACAATCTCTTTACATAATTGGAATTAATCTCTTATTTATGGTAGCAGGTTTATCTCTATCCAATTTGTGGGTTCATCGATACCACCAGAAATTTTGGTACCCCTAACTCAGCTCAAGGTCTGGGCACCCTGGGGACCGCCTCCAATCCCACCCACAGGGTCCGCCTCCAAATCACAGACACAAAAACACACACTGATACAAAAGGACACAGATACACACACACACACAGAGATACATACTAACAGACACACATACTGAAACAGATATACACGCATATAGGCATACATACTGATACACACATACTGAGACACACACAGGCATAAATAGTGACAGATAGACACATACTAACATACATACAGACACACATGCATACTGGCATACATACATATATACATACATACATTCATACAGACGGACATACAGACACTGACATCCATACACAGACATACATTCATAATGGCATACATGCATATATACACACATACACACGTTCATACATACTGACATACATGCATACTGACATCCATACACACATACACACGTTCATAATGACATGCAGACATACATTCATACTGACATACATGCATACATTCATAATGAATACATATATACATACATACATACATAATGACAGGGGTCCTCAAACTTTTTAAACAGGGGGCCAGTTCACGGTCCCTCAGACACGTTGGGGGCCGGACAATAAACAATATGAAATAATTCCTATGCACACTGCACACACACACATACTGACATACATACATATATAAGCAGACAGACACAGACATATACATACATATTGAAATAGATACACACATACAGATACATACACACAGACATGCATACATACACATACTGACTTACACACAGACATACATACACAATACATGCTGACAGACACACATACAGACACACACATACATACATACTGACATACATACACACATCCATAGATACATACTGACATACACACATACACCCACATACATTCAGACATACTGACATACATACATAGATAGATACATACTGACATACATAGATATATACTGACATACACACATACATACAGACATAGATACATACTAAAATAAACAAATACAGCTAGTTTTGCTTACCTTTTTTTTTGCAGGTGGGTGGCTGTGGATGATGGTAGTCGGTGTGGCTCCCGTGGCCTGGGTTTCTTCCCTCCTGTGCAGCGCGAAGTGGAGGGAGCTGTGAGGAAGTGACGGCTATTTCCTCCCAGCAGTACTTTGCGGCTGGGATTTTTTTAAAGGGGCCTGGTCACGCTATTGCACGGCCACAGCGCTGACCGGGCCCCTGAAGATATAGGGCCCATCAGGTGGCCCTAAGTGCGTGGGCCACCCGATAGGCCCCAACAGAGTGTGGGTCCCGGTGCAACTGCTGTCATGGTTGTCACCCCCTGAAGGCGGCCCTGCCTAGATAAGCCCATAAAAAAAATTACACTTTGCTGTGATCTGTGCCTTCATCTGGCGATCCATAAACAGTGGCAGAGTGATTGATTTGGAATAAAGCTGAATTGAGCTGAAGTGGTCTGGGTGCCTATAGTGGTCCTTTAAACATGTCTTATTAAGACAAATTAATAAATTGTTGTTACAAGTTAAGAAGATCTTGTGAAATTCACCTGAAGATAGTGTGGATTCAGTGCACAGTACCTAAGTCTGATAACTATTGAGGTATAGTTATCAGATTTAGGTAGGGTGCACTGAATCCACGGTATCTTCAGATGAAATTCAGCTCTTCTTAACTTGTAACAACAATTTATTAACTTGAAACAGCGGCGGGTGTGAAACAGGATTATCTTGAGCATAGAAGTTATTAGGCATTTGATTAAGGGGTGCCCACGAAGGCACAGAATAGGGACCAACATTATGTATCTTTACCTAAGCTAGAAAACCATCCTTAATATCATCAACGGCAGTTTGCCATTTAGGTTTCACTCCATACTGCAAGTGACACTTTTTGTTCCACATTGATACAATCTGTACCGCCATAAGTGTATCAAAGATTAACTGCTATGTATACAGTTACCTACACACAATGAATATCGTTACAGAAACATAGATCTTTTTCGGAGATAGGGGATTAGTTCGTGGAATTGGCATGCAATTGATATATAAAATAGTGCACGAATAACCTACCGAGACACTTTCAAATTAGTCTAGTTAGGAGCTTACACTCCTATTCTATATCTTTCATAGTAAGAATAGAACCAATTATTAGATTTATGTCCTCAAAATTAAGAAGCATACTTAGGATACATATTGTAAAACTTTCCTTAAAAAGTATAGAGAAAAAAAAAATAACCAAAAAGTTTGTCCCCTTATGTATCAAAAAATTATTTAGTATCTTGTTACTTGATAATATATGTGATTTCTATATTTTTTTAACCCTTCGTTCTTTCTCTTGTACAATACGGGTAAAAAGAGTGATAAAAAAAATTATATTTTCTATTGTGAATATTAAAAAAGATAAATAGCTTTCTCGGAGCTCCGGTTATCTTTTGAAACAAAGTGGTCTCAGTATAAGATAAACTTGTGAAAAAAAATAAAAATTAAAAGGCAAATATTTGTGCATTTTCCGTGAAAACATAAAAATATAAATAAATATATATATCCTTACACTTCTTTTTATAGTGCAGATAGTGCTAATAAGAGTGAACTATTCCATTTATAACTTTATATTAGAAAGCATTATATTAACCATGTATATTTAGGAGCTTTCCATTTGTGTTGTCACACTTTCTTGTTTATAGACTTCTCTTCCTCCTTCCGTCAAAAGACAAAAAATACCTCCTTACACTACTTTAAATAGTGCAAATAAGAGTGAACTATTCCCTTTATGTTTTTAAATTAGAAATCATTATATTGACCATTTATATTTAGGAGCTTTCCGTAGGAGTTAATAAAAAAAACAAAAAATTATATATGGTTTCTCTCTTCTCTATTTCCTTCAGTTCAGTCCCTTCACTTTAACTTGAAGCTTGTGAGAATTTTTAAAGTGTAGGAATATTCAAATCATTTTCTTTCATCCACGCCTGTAGCTTTTCTGCTGATTCAAAGACCAAAATTCTTGTCTCATAGTTCACAATGAACTTTACCCCATCGATAATGAATTTGATTTATTCTGAGAGTCTCTGAGTTTGGCAAAAAATTTCTTTTTTGAGCGGGTTTAAAATGATAAGTCTGGAAAAATTTGTAGCTTGTCGTGTGGAGCTTGTAAAGGTACTGCTCTTATTGATTTTAATAACTGTTCTTTGATTCGGAAGGATGAGCAACTTATCAAGACATCTAAAGCATAATTTATAGATACATTTTGTGGTTTTGGTACTCTTTGCCATCTTTCCATGAGATGGCCCTTTTGTTTGGTTGAAATATTTATACGGGCAAATATTTTTTTCAAACATTCTTCCAGATTTTTTTTAATATTTCTTCAAGAATATTTCTCAGTCTTAGATTATTGCGTCTCGTTCGATTTTCCAAATTAGCCGTTTTTTATTCCAATATATTAACCTTAGCTTGTTGGAAGTCAGATTGAGTTTGAGCTATTATATCTTCTGCCTTGTGGATTTTTTCTGAATGTTCAGAAATTTTTGTATTGATTGCTATTAGTTCTTTTTTGTATTCATCTGTAAATCTTGAGATTTCTCTTTTCTTTTTTCAAATTGATTTTCTAGTACAAGATTTAATAAGTCTATCGTGACATTTTGTTTTTCTGTGGAATCAGCGATTTTATCCGATGAGTCATCATCAGTACTTCTGGGGAATCTTTTTGAGGCCCGGCTTTGGAGGTATGTGTAGAGAAGAAGTACAGTCTTTTATCAGAGGAATCTACTTTATTGACAGTTTTTTCCTAGAAGGCTTTGGGTCTTGTGGCTTTTTATTAGCCATTGCAAGTGTTTCCCCTTTAGGTGCCAAATGTTCAAATTAACTGAGCAGTTAAGTTGTTTTTCCTTTTTTCTCTTTTTCTCCTCTTATCTCTTTTTTTTTCCCCTCCTTTTTTTTCTTACTTTCTTCCCTCTCTCTTTTCTCTTTCTTTTTTTTTTTTTCTTTCTTTCGGGAATAAACTATAATTTATAGGGGTCGGGGCTTAACCACATATCCGAGCAGCCGCCATTTCCCAAAGCTCCTGAGGCAAACTACTAAAATCCCCTAAATATCACGGGCATCAGTGCCCACATGACGGCTGCCACCTAAGAACTTACCCCTGAGTGGTAAACGGATCCGGTACATGCCGTTCTTTCAGCAATCTGGGCTAAAAGAGCGAAAGAAAAGGCTTGCGGCCTACCATCTCCCCCCAAGTCTGGGACTTGAGGAGTGGTGGAGCACACCTAGACCCCGGACACAAGGGGCGACACCACCAAAGCTACAATGCCAGGCCCACTACCTGACTTGGGAAGGCGTTCCGAGAAACTACCAGGTACGCCTTGCGACTCCCGAGATATCGGGTCCCTGCTCCAGACCAAGATGGCAGTCCTTAAGGCCCACCCCGGGCCCTCTCACAAGAGGGAGCTCAACCTCAGCCCAAGCAACAGGAACCCGAGCTTTCTCAACCCTGGCAACTAAGCAGGACCCTCCTTGCTGATTTTTGCCAGACACAGTGGCGTACATACAGGGGTCGCAGTGATTGCAGGAAAAAATTAGAGAATTAATAAAAAATTGATCAAAATATATTGCACTATCAATATAAAAAATATTAATGCATCTACAATACTAGGAGAGATAGTCATGCATAATATGTAATTTAAAGGGAATATATAAATATAAAAATTGTATAGGGAAAATATCTAATAAAAGAAAATTAATATATAATTAAAAAAGTCAATAAAAATGGACTATAGAGTTCTGATATCTTTTAAAGGGAATGAAAGAGGTAAAAATAATGGTAAAAAAATTCCCTTGTAAGAGAATAATAATAAAAAAGGCAATTATTTACATTAGAAAATATGTTAATATATAAAAAAATATTAAAAAGTGAGAAAAATATATAGGGGGAGTTAAAAATGGGGGGGAGGGGTCAAAAATAGGGACGCCCGCATAATCGATTAGATAAGTGCAGACATCTCAAAGTCGACATTGAGACCACTGGGAGAGAGAGTGTCCAAATTAAATATCCACTTCATCTCACAGCGGCTCAATGTCGACTCCAGATGATTCTGCAACATTTGAATGCCAAAAAACTGGAGTCCAGTGGGGTCTTCTCCATGGCTATTTAAAAAAAATGGAGTGAAACATGGTGATTTAAAAAGCCTTTCCTAATATTATAAATGTGCTCACGTATCCTTGTTTTTAGACATCTAGATGTCTTTCCCACATACTGTAATCCACAAGGACATGTGAGCAAATAAACTACGTTTTTGGAGTGACAAGTTATGAGTGACTATTTTGTATGTCTCCTCTCCCACTCAGGATTTAAAACTTTCCACTTTTTTATTTTTGTGCTTCCAATTTCTACAGCCCATAGAAGTACCACAATAAAAAAACCTTTATTCATCTTCTTGTATGATTCTAAAAAAAGTATTAGTATTAGGGACATCTATATAGTTTGAGGTAAGTATTTGTTTTAGATTTTTTGCTCCTCTAAAGACTTTTAGGTTTATCCTCTAAAAATGGTTTAATCTCTTGATCTTGATGGAGGATATGCCAATTCCTATTTAAAATACGCTATAGTTGTTGATGATCTTTATTATAATTAAAAATTAGAGGTATTTTATCACTTACTTCTATATCGGTTTTCTCTCTATATCTGAGTAGAGATTCCCGATCCATAAGCCTAATCTCCTCAATTTCTTTGTTTAGGCAATCTATTTGATATCCCCGTTCCAAAAATTGTTTCTTAAGAATATCAACCTGGCTATCAAAAATGTTAATATCGGTGCAGTTCCGCCTCAATCTCAGGAACTGCCCTTTAGGGATATTATCCAGCCAGGGACGGAAATGGCAACTCTCTTTGTTGATGTAACTATTGACATCAACCTTTTAAAAAAAAAAAAAAAATCTTAGTCTTAATCTTGTTTATTTCTATATAGATTTCTAGGTCCAAAAAATTAATTTTTTCTTTACTAATTTCTTGAGTTAGACAGGTGTTCCACTGGTTACTATTTAAAAAAATTAAGAAAATTTAAAACTTCGCATTCCTCACCCTTCCAAATAAAAAAGATATCATCTATATATCTTCTATAGAGAACCAGGTTCGCACTCCAGTCATGCTGGGAATAAACAAAAGACCTTTCCCAATAAGCCATAAAAAGATTAGCATAACTGGGTGCGAACCTGGTCCCCATAGCAGTCCCCCTACGCTGTAAAAAATAGTCTCCCTCAAACCAGAAAAAAATATTCTCCAGGATAAAAAGTATTCCCTCCAAAATAAAATCAACTTGACTCGCAGGGTATAAGGTGGAGGTTTCTAGAAAAAAGCGTGTCTCTTCACAGCCTAAAAGATGGTCAATACAAGTATAAAGACTAGTGACGTCACACGTAACAAGGATAAAATCATCTTCCCACTTAAAGTCTTTGAGTATTTGTAACAAACTCATTGAGTCTTTCAAATATGAGAGAGTAGTTTTGACTATAGGTTGAAGGTGTACGTGGGGAGTCTTGTACATTTTTATGCAATTTTGGCAGCGTATTAATGACCGGTATTTTCGGTGAAAGGATATTTAGAAAGGAATATTCTGCCTGAGTTAGAATTCCCCTCATTAGTCCTTTTCAAATTTCCTTTTTATATCATTCTGAGGATTTTCCTTTAGTTTTATATATGTATCCGTATCACCGAATTGATCACCTAAGGTAGGAAATATATAATCAACCATGACACGTGCATTCTGTTTTGAGGTATGTAGAGAGGGATCTCTTAAAGGACTTTAGCCTTGGGGAAGATTTTAAAGTGTGCGGGAGGTCGTTCCACAATTGCAGCGCTCTGTAGGAGAAGGAGGATCGGGCTGCTTTCTTTTTGTATTGAGGTAGACTAAATAAAGTGCTGGTACTGGATTGGAGGTTATAGGAGGTGGGAACAGCCGGGGAGAGCATTTTGCTCAGGTAGGATGGGAGTTTCCCAGAGAAGCTCTTAAACACAAGGCTGGAAAGATGATGGGTGCATCTGGATTCCAGCGACAGCCAGTTTAGTTCTTTTAGCATGTCACAATGGTGGGTCCTGTAATTACATTGTAGCACAAATCAGCAGAACAACTTATACAATGTATTGAGTTTACTTACCTTTGTTTTGAGCTTCTCACCTAGACCTAAAAAAGTGGGGGTTAGCCTCTTTTCTAGTTTTTAAGGTGTGTACATCATACAACCTCGCTATTGTAAAAAGAGACACATAGCCCTAACTGCTCCTATACAGCTATGTTCTTGCATATGTCCATCCCTTCAGGGGTAGCAGGCTCAGTTCATGCTCATTAATGTTACTTATGTTTTCTATTTTACTTAAACATAAGATTACACTGTTTTTACTAATGCTACTCATGGCAAGTCACTGCTGATTTGTACTATGGTCTTGATTCTATAACCATGTGCTGCCTATATCTTTTGCAGATTGAGAATAAAAAATAGATTGAAAAAAAAAAAAAAAAACCCCACACAATCCAATCTGCAAATCCTAGGAAACAAAGGGATTTTTTTTTTACTGTTTGTAGAATTCTTGACATGGTTAAAAGAAAAAGTATGTTTTTTAAAAAAGATTATGTACAATAAAAGTTATTAAAATTATTAGTGACAAGAAGCACAGTGGTCTGTGTCAGAATATATATATATATATATATATATATATATATATATATATATTAATAACGAAGAGAGGTGCACTCACAGGTCTTCTTCCAAGTGTGCAGTTTTATTCTGTTATTTGAAGATTGTCCCAACGTTTCGACTCCTAAGGGTCTTTTTCAAGGTCCACTTAAAAACTTGTGAGCCACTCCCCCAAAGCCTCTATGGATGATCCTCCACTGGACAGGAGTCACCATGGACTATCCATGAGATGGATAATCAGCCAATTATCATGAGTAGTGGTGGCTTGTTTCCAGTACAACTGGAGCACTCTCTACTTGCCTGATTGATGAATCAGACCACAACTTCCATATGGGCCTTAATTGGGGCTGTAAGCACCCTATGAGTTTGGTTAGCTTGAGCTAAATAGACCAGCATTAACAATATAGTAGGAGCCAAGCAAGTAACCAACATAATGAAAAATCTTTTTTATTGCCTTCTTGGTGTTTTCATTTAGTTCTAGTTTTTTATGTGGGCTTCAGTCTCCAGCGGTGTGTTATTCAGCCTGGAAATATGTTTGCAGGCTGAGGGCTTCAAGGTCTCCAATGTGCGAATATGTTTTAAACATGTCCTAACTCCTACAACAAGGCAGAGAAATCTTCCTGGAATCCTCTTTTTCAAAATATAGAGCTTTAATGTTCCCCTTAGTGGATGGGGAACAATCCATAAGAGTCTCTTGGTTGGAAGACGCTGCTATACGTCCCTCCTCAATATCCAATCTGGAAGGATCACCAGCAGAACTGTAGTCATCTTCTACAGCTGGTGCACGATTATGCGAAGAGATCAGAAATGCAGCAGTTTCTGATTGTTTAGGTTATAAGTCTTACCCCATTTTTCTGTTGTTGCATGCCATAATTGCTAGTGGATAAGGGCAAAAAAGAATGAGTTATGTGAGGTTGTGTGTAGTCAAAATAAAATCATGGTGAAGTCAGCCAAGCTCATAGTTCCTAGAAAACCTAAAACTGAGTCAGCTCTGTCACCCATATCCCAGCTGTTTTTGAGAAGTTAATATAAACATTTCTTGAAATTGGTAAACACAACAACAGCTCTCCTTGGATGTGTCCTATGGAATGTATGGTAAATATGATACAATAAAAATGACAGACAAATTATATAAGGTAAGGTCAAACTGTGAATTGTACCAGGCCACAATGGCACTTGTCCAACTAAGTTTCAGAAACATAGAATGTGACGGCAGATAAGAACCATTCGGCCCATCTAGTCTGCCCAATATTTTGAAATACTTTTAATTAGTCCCTGGCCTTATCTTAAGTCTAGGATAGCCTTATGCCCACACATGCTTAAACACCCTCACTGTGTTAACCTCAACCACTTCAGCTGGAAGGCTATTCCATGCATCCACTACCCTCTCAGGAAAGCAATACTTCCTGATATTATTTTTAAACCTTTGCCCCTCTAATTTAAGACTATGTCCTCTTGTTGTGGTAGTTTTTCTTCTTTTAAATATAGTCTCCTCCTTTACTGTGTTGATTCCCTTTATATATTTAAATGTTTCTATCATATCCCCCCGTCTCGTCTTTCCTCCAAGCTATACATGTTAAGATCCTTCTACCTTTCCTGGTAAGTTTTATCCCGCAATCCATGAACCAGTTTAGTAGCCCTTCTCTGAACCCTCTCTAAGGTATCAATATCCTTCTGAAGATACGGTCTCCAGTACTGTGTACAATACTCCAAGTGAGGTCTCACTAGTGTTCTGTATAATGGCATGAGCACTTCCCTGTTTCTACTGCTAATACCTCTCCCTATACAACCAAGCATTCTGCTAGCATTTCCTGCTGCTCTATTACATTGTCTGCC